CAGGTTTAGATAGAGGATCTGGATCAGCGCAGGCTTGGAGGGCCGAAGGGCCTGTACCTGTGCTGTAATTTTCTTTGTTCTTTGTTCTTTGTAATATGTATTGTGAATAGCTGCAGTCCTAGCACTGATTCTTGCGGTTCCCCACTGGTCACTATCTGCCACTTGGGCAATGACCCATTTGTTCCTGCTCTGTTTCCTGACTGCCAGCTAGTTTGCTGTCTATCTCAACACACTAACGTCCAGTCCCCTGTGCTTTAATTTTACATGCTAATCTCTTATGTGGGACTTTATCATAGGCCTTCTAAAGCTCCAAGTAAACCAAACCTACTGGCTTCCCCTTATTAACATTCTTAGATTGTGTCCTCTCAAATTTCAAATGGATTTGTCAAGCATTATTTCCCTTTTCATAAATCCATGTTCGGTTCTATCACTGTTTTCCAAGTGCCCTCCTGTTAAATCTTTTATAAAAAATAGAATGTAACTATCATATCAGGTCCTGGCCTATTTATAAATACCTCGCTATACTTGGATTCACTATCTGTGGAGTTAGCCCTACAGTGATTGTAATGAGATCAACCAGGTGGACCTCATAGAATATGAGTTCCCTGATTGGGGCTGTTAATCCGGTCCAATCAGGGAGCCCTGGCTGACAGATATAAACAAGAGTGTCAGAGATTCTGCTCACTTTGAGAGCCGGCTCTGAAGGAGCTGGATCAGTGTCAAGTAGTATGTATGTGTAAATAACAGGTGACTTGGTGACTGGATACTGGCCTCTGTGGAGTTATTTCAAGTCCCATACCCCATTTTGTTTTCTTTTCCTAAGTGACAGGTTTCCTAGCACTGATCCCTGCGGTACCCCACTGATCACTGGCTGCCCCTCTGCCTCTGAGGGTGTCACTACTTCCTCATCAGTAGTCTGTTTTTAATATATTTAACTCCGGAACTCCCTCAGCCTCCACTTCAGTGTGAGCTGTTTGTGCTAACTCTGAATCTGCTTCCTGGGCCTCAATTAATGAAAACAATGAAAATATTTCCTTTGAATTATCCACATTCTTAAACAGATTCTCAACTTCCCTAACCTCAGTTTGTGGTATAATGAATGAATGAATTTGCCTTATTGTCACAGCTTCATTACAGTAAGCTCTGGCGACGGACTTTGTTCAGTCATTGCTCTTGTCATCACACTCAGTGAAAAAATTCCCGGGAACTTATTCAGGGGCCTTAGAGCCAGAAGAAAAGTTCGAGGGAACACTGCTCTCTACCTATCCCAATCACTAACACTTTGGCTTTTGTTGAACTCTCTGGGCTGAAAATCAAATCCTTCTGCAGCAAGAGATTTTGAGTAGCTACTGTATCTCTCTGAATAATTATGAAGGTGGCTACCTTTGAATAAAAGTGCATTATCTTCCCTTTCAATAAAAGCTCTTCATGTCTTTTATCTACCCTCTGTACTACTTCTACACTCAAGCAATGTTTACCTCCTGTCTCTGAGTTGTCACTAAATTTACCATCTAATCCAAGCCATTTTCCTTCTGTGTTTCCTTTTTTGGATTCATTCTTGTGAGTGCCAATGAATTACACAGGTTTCCCCCTCAAATTCCAGCTTTCTGAATACATGTGTCCCATCTGATTACAATGGAAACATCACCCTCAGCACTTTACCTTCTGGCCTGAGGAAGAGACCTTGAGACCTTGAATCAAAAATACAGAAAATTAAAAAGATCTGGTATTGATGATGTCATGGATTAGCCTAAGCCTGAGTCCTGTTTAGGTCTTGCTACTTGTTTCTTAGTCAGAGAGTCATTGAGGCATATAGCACAGAAACAGGCCCTTTAGCCCAACTCTTCCATCCCAACCAGCTTTCCTGAACTGAACTAGTACCATTTGCCTGCATTTGACCCATATTCTCAAAACCTGTCCTATTTATATTCTTGTCCAAATGTCTTTTAAATGTTGCAACTGTGCCTGCATCTACCATTTTCTCTAGCAGTTCATTCCATACACGCACCATCCTCTGTGTGACAAAGTTGCACCTCAGGTCCCTTTTAAATTTTTCCCCTTTCACCTTAAACCTATGCCCCTCTAGTTTTGGACTCCCCTACCTTTGGGAAAAGACCTTGGCTATTCACCCTATCCATGCCCCTCATGAGTTTATAAACTTCTACAAGGTCGCCCCTCAGCCTCCTACACTCCAGGGGAAAATGTCACAGTCTATTCAGCCTCTCATTATAACTACAACCTTACAATTTTGGTAACATCCTTGTAAATCTTTTTTGCACCCTTTCAAGTTTAATGACATATTTCCTTTAGCAGGACAACCGGAATTGTACACAGTACTCCAAAGGTGGCCTTACCAATGTTTTGTACAGCTGTAACATGACGTCCCAACTTCTGTACTCAATGCACTGACCAATAAAGGCAAGCATACCAAATGCTTTCTTCACCATCTGCCTACTTGTGAGGCCACTTTCAAGAAACTATGTACCTGCACCCCTAGGTCTCTCTATTTGACAACACTCCCCAGGGCCTGATCATTACCTGTCTTTGTCTGAGGAATGGGGAATTGAATTGCTCAGCAAGATCCCACAAACTGTAAAGCAATAAATGACCAGATAAACCACAGTATGGGCGGTAGGTAAAAGATAAACACTAGCAAGAACATTGGAATGTTAACTTTATTCTTAATTGAAACATTCCATTGCGATCTTTCCCATCTGTCTGCAAAAGTGATTGGGCCATTAACAACTCATCTAATTACTGGATTGCTCCTTTAGTGTTACATTGGGAAAGCCAGCTTTTATTGACTTGTGTAATTTTATGTTTATTTTTATTTATTTGTGTGATGAAGGCTCATGATATGTTATTATTGCTATTATTTGGAAACTTGAGCTATAAAGTAGGCAGAACCATGTATTGGGTTAAATTTGATTTGTATTTCTATATTGTGGGGTTAAGAAGGGGACACATTGGGCTAAGTTTTACTTTTCTTGGCTAAGTTTATGTTGTGTTCAGTTTCTTGGAGGATGACTCACTGTGAGCTGCGAGCAAGTTCTCTCGCCATATCTTACCAATCCACCTCATTAATGACCTACCTCATCCTGTGGTGTCTCTTAAGGTCCAATTCTATCTCCAATTTACCATGTGCCTTTCCCAGAACAACTCACCGTTCACTGGGTATCCAGGTCACCACCATCTCTTGTGGCTACACCATCAGTCTGGAGCTGCCCTGCATGGTTCCTAATATTTGCCTCGGGATATGGCAGACAGGGGTAATGGGCACTTTGCTTTGTGGACAGGGACCTGGAGCTCCTGTTGGTGCAAACATGGACACCCTTTTGCCCCCTGACCAGCAGAGGAGAACAAGATACCAGGCCATGCCCAGTCTAACCTGAGGTTACCACCTGGGTCAGTGCAGTCTCAGTGTCTGGAGGAACGCCCAGTGCTGTAGGAAGAAGGTCAATGTCATAGAGTCATGGAGTCATACAGCACAGAACCAGACTCTTTGGCCCAACTCGTCCGCCTTCTCCACCCTTCCAGGGTGTGTGCCAACATCTTCTCTCCAATACCTCACACTCACCCTCTCTCTGACACTGCACCCCCCTCCCACCAAGGCTTATCCTCACTATTGCCTGCAACATCCTCCCTCACTCACTCTCACCCACCCCAACCTCGAAACCATTAACCGCATGTACCCTCTGTGCTGCCCACTCACTCACTCAGGCACCTCCCCCCCTTGCACTAACAGTAGCAGCTGTACCACCCACTTTCATTCCCTCTAACACCTGCCTTTCTCTAATTCCAGGAGGTACAGGCTTGGAGGGCCGAAGGACCTGTTCATGTGCTGTAATTTTCTTTGTTCTTTGTTCTTTGAAATAAGTCCCCAAATGGGGCAGAAAGAGTCACGAAAAGTAATTGTCTGCCTGACATTCACGTCCTCACCTCTTCTGTGGAGAGGATCCTGACTCTGACCACCCCACGGGGCTGACTGACCACGTCCAAGCTGCTGGGCTGGTCTCAGAGGCTGCCCCTGACTTACTACTGGGACCCTCTGTGTGAAAGCGAACTTGCGTAATATGACTGACGCACGTGGACCACAGTAACAGCTGTGCCACCCACTTTCATCCCATGTAATACCCGACTCTCTGCCATTCCAGGAGGAAAACAGCTCACAATGGGGCAGAAGGAGTCAGGATGGGTGGTGGCCTGCCCAATATTCAGCTCCTCACTCTCTACGAGGAGAGGATTCAAGTCTTCACTGCTCAGAGTGCCTGATTGACTGCATCCGAGCCCTCTGGACTAGTATCGGACGGTACCCTCACCTCCCTTGCTGTGCTAGGACGTCCTCAGTGAAGGCTATCTCCCTTGACTTGACTGAGAACAGCTGACAACTATGACGAAGCCAGGTAGCACGGTGGCTCAGTGGTTAGCACTGCTGCCTCACAGCGCCAGGGACCCGGGTTTAATTCCTGGATGACTGTCTGTGTGGAGTTTGCTCATTCTCCATCTGCCTGCGTGGGCTTCCTCCGGGTGCTCCGGTTTCCTCCCACAGTCCAAAGATGTGCAGGTTAGGTGGATTGGCCATGCTAAATTGCCTGTAGTGTCCGGTGATGTGTACATTGGGTGGGTTGGCCATGGGAGGTGCAGGGTTACAGGGATAGTGTAGGGGACGGGTTGAGTCTGGGTGGGATGCTCTTCGGGGAGTCGGTGTGGACATGTTGGGCCGAATGGCCCGATTTGACTCTGTGGAGATTCTATGAAGCCTCCTGGCCTTACACCTGCATTTAATGACAAGGAAAGGCAACTTAAGGCAGGAGTGCCGTGGGTGCCCAGGTAGGCTCACTGTGAGAGCAAGTTAAGGAGCCCAGAAATGTCCATGACATGCCTTTAAATGTTTCAGTATATTGAAGGTGCTACATATGTGCAAGTGATTATTGTTGTAACACTGTAAAAAGTAAATCATGTTGCTGATTAAAAAAAAATGTCATTTTTTTTCAAGATATCAAGAATGGGAGTCCCGTGTGCAAATGCAGAAGGGATGTGTGTCCAACTAATCACATGCTCTCCTGATTGGTAAATACATTCATACATAGTAATTGTGCGGAATCTATTGTCCATTTGCAAGTTCTTATTGTCACCTTCCAGAAGGACAAGGGCAGCAGATACATGAAAACACCAACCCCTGCAGGTTCCCTGCCAAAGCAGTCACCAATCCACACTTGGAAATATATCGCTTCAGTATCACTGGGTCAAAATCATGGAATTCGCTCCCTAAAGGCATTGCTGGTCTACCCACAGCACATAGACTACAGCGGTTCAAGAACGCAGCTCACTACCACCTTCTCAAGGGCAACTAGGGATGGGCAATACAATGCTTACACCCCACGGGGGAATAGAGACAAAACTGCAGGAGTACAGAGTTGCCAGGCAATGGGATTGGCCATAACTCCCAACAGTGTTCTGATGGGATGGGCTCCACCTGAGTTATGCAGGGACCAGAGTCCTGATGAATTGCAGAGGCTGGATAGGCTGGGACATTTTTCACTGGAGCGTCGGAGATTGAGAGGTGACCTGATAGAAGTTTATAAAATGATGAGAGATATAGATAGTTGATGGTAGTTGGCTTTTCCCTAAGATGGGGAATTTCAAGACTAAGGGGAGACATTTTTAAGGTGAGAGGAGAGAGATTTAAAAAGTACAATAGAGGCAAATCTTTTACACAGAGGGTGGTTCGCGTGCGGAATGGACTTCCAGAGGAAGTGGTAGATGTGGGTACAGTTACAATGTTTAAAGTACATTTGGATGGATATATGAATGGGAAAGGTTTGGAGGGATATGGGCCAGGAGCAGGCAGGTTGGACTAGTTTATTTAGGGATTATGTTCAGCATGGACTAGTTGGACTGAAGTGTCTGTTTCCATGCTGTATGCCTCTATGACTCTATGACTACAGCTGTGAATTAGGGAGGGGGGATATTTTGGAAAAAGTCAAGGGGGAAGGAGGGCTCGGCAGAGGTTATTAAAGTTTCCAGAACAAGTAATAGGATAGAGAATGGAATGGATTCGGGATATGACTTCAGGCACCAAGATAAGGGGACTAATCTGAGAATGGGAGGCAGTCACTGCAGGACTGAGGGTGTTGTACTTAAATACATGCAGTATCTGAAACAAGGTAAATGAGCTTGTAGTGCAGATTGAAATTGGTGGGTACAATGTTGTGGGTATCACAGGGACGTGGCTACAAGGTGATCAAGGCTGGGAAATAAAATCCAAGGATATGAGTCCTATCAAAAGGACAGGCAAATGGGCAGAGGATGTGGGATTGCATTGTCAATAAGAAATGAAATTAAATCAATAGAAAGCAGTAATATAGAATCAGTAGGCATAGAATCTGTGTGGATAGAGTTGATGAACTGTGAAGGAAAAAAGACTCTGATGTGTACAGGCCACCTAGCCAGGATGTGGGGAAGCAAATGAATTGGGAAATAGAAAAGGCATGTAAGAAAGGCATTATTACAATAAATATAGGGGACTTCAATTTACAAGCGGACTGGGAAAATCGGGTTGGTAGTAGATTTCAAGAAAAGGAATCTGTGGAATGTCTATAAGGTGGTTTATTGGAACAGCTTATGGCATAGCCCACTAGAGAACAGGATTCTGGATTTGGTGATGTGTAATGAGGCAGACTTGATTAGGAAGCTTAAGGTGAAGGAACCCCAAGGGGACAGTGACCATAATATGATAGAAATCACCCAGCAGTGTGAGAGGGAGAAGCTGGAATTAGATGTAACAGTATTACGATTGAGTAAAGGTAACGACAAAGATGTCAGAGAGGAGTTGGTCAGAGTTGATTGGAAGGGGAGAACAGCAGGGAAGATAGTGGAGCAGCAATGGCAGGAGTTTCTGGGGGTAATCCGGGAGGCATGGCAGAAATTCATCCCAAGGAAGAAGAAAGATACTGAGGGGAGGACAAGGTAACCATGGCTGATAAAGGAAGTCAGGGACAGCATAAGAGGACATTAAGGACAAAAAGGTAACTAGGGAGAGAATAGGGCCCCTTAAAGACCAGCAAGGCCATCCACATGTGGAACAGCAGGAGATGATGGGAGATACCAACCGAGTATTTTGCATCAGTGTTTACTGTGGAGAAGGATATGGAAGATAAAGAACGTGGGGAAATAAATATTGACATCTTGAAAAATGCCCATATTGCAGAGGAGGTGGTGCTGGACACATAAAGGTGGATAAATCCCCAGGACCTGATCAGGTGTACCCTAGAAGTCTGTGGGAAGCTTAGGAAGTGAGTGATTGCTGGGCCCCTTGCTGAGATATTTGTGTCATCGATAGCCACAGGTGAGGTGTCGGAAGACTAGAGATTGGCTAATGTGGTGTCACTATAAGAAAGATGGGAAGGAAAAGCCAGGGAACTATAGACCGATGAGCCTGACATCGGTGGTGGGTGAGTTATTGGAGGGGATCCAGGGGGTCAGGATTTCCATGTGTTTGGAAGGGCAAGGACTAATTAGGAATAGTCGACATGACTTTGTGCATGGGAAATCATGTCTCATTAACTTGATTGCGTTTTTTTGAAGAGGTAACAAAGATGACTAATGAGGGCAGAGCAGTGGACGTGATCTGTATGGACTTCAGTAAGGCATTCCACAAGGTTCTTCATGTAGACTGGTTAGCAAGGTTACATCACATGGAATACAGAGAGAACCAGCCATTTGGAAACAGAACTGGCTTGAAGGTAGAAGACAGAGGGTGGTGATGGAGGGTTGCTTTTCAGACTGGATGCCTGTGACCATATCATGAAATCATAAAGACCCTACAAATGATTTGGACGTGAAGATAGAGGAGAAAACAGAGCTAACGTTTCGGTTCTGGTGACCCTCCCTCAGAACCGGACCCGAAACGTTAACTCTGTTTTCTCCTCCACAGATGCTGCCAGACCTGCTGAGCTTTTCCAGCAACTTTGTTTTTGTTCCTGATTTACAGCATCCGCAGTTCTTTTGGTTTTTATGAAGATAGGAGGTATGGTTAGTAAATTGCAGATGACTGCAAAATTGGAGGCATAGTGGACAGAGAAGAAGATTACCTCAGAGTACATTGGGACAGAGTACAAGTTGATCAGATGGGCCAATGGGCTGAGGAGTTTTATTTAGATAAATATGATATGCTGCATTTTGGAAAGGCAAATCAGGGCACTTAATGTTAAAGTCCTGGCGAGTGTTGCTGAACAAAGAGACCTTGGAATGCAGGTTCATAGTTCTTTGAAAGTGGAGTCCCAAGTAGACAGGATAGTGAAGAAGGCGTTTGGTATGCTTGCCTTTATTGGTCAGTGCATTGAGTATTGGTGTTGGAAGGTCATGTTGCGGCGGTACAGGACATTGGTTAGGCCACTTTTGGAATACTGTGTGCAATTCTGGTCTCCCTGCTATAGGAAGGATGCTGTGAAACTTGAAAGGGTTCAGAAAAGATTTATAAGGATGTTGCCAGGGTTGGAAGGTTTGTGCTATGGGGAGATGCTGAATAGGCTGGAACTATTTTCCCTGGAGCATCGGAGGCTGAGGAGTTGTGTTATAGAAGTTTATAACATCATGAGGGGCATGGATTGGGTGAATAGACAAGGTCTTTTTCCCAGGGTGGGAGAGTTCAAAAGTGGAAGGCATAGATTTAAGGTGAGAGGGGAAAGGTTTAAAAGGGATCTAAGGGAAAATGTTTTCACGCAGAGGTTGGTACTTGTATGGAATGAGCTGCCAGAGGAAGAGGGGGAGGCTGGTACAATTAAAACATTTAAAAGGCATCTGGGCCAAATGCTGGCAAATGGGACAAGATTAATTTAGGATATCTGGTCGGCATGGACGAATTGGACTGAAGGGTCTGTTTCCATGCTGTACAGTTCTGACTCTATAAAAGCAGAAGAAGAAGCATACAATGTGGTAAAGATTAGTGGGAAGCCTTTAAAAACCTGCAGAGGATGAAATATGAGGGTAAGCTAGCTAATGATAGAAAAGAAGATTGCAGGACTTTTTTGAACTATCTAACAAGTAAGAGAGAGACAAGAGTGGACATTGGACTGTTGGAAAATGTTGCTGGAGAAGTAATAATGGGGAGTAAAGAAATGGCAGAGGAACTGAATCGATACTTTGCATCAGTTTTCACAATAGAGGACAGCAGCATACCAGAACTTCAAGAGAGTGAGGGGGCAGAGGTGAGTGTAGTGGCCATCACTAAAAGAAGGGGCTGGGGAAGCTGAAAGGTAGATAAATCACCCAGACAGATGGACTACACCCCAGGTTTCTGAAGGAGATAGCGGAGGAGATTGCACTGGCATTGGTGGTAATCTTTCATGAATGACTGGAGTCAGGGAAGGTCCCAGAGGACTGAAAAATGGCTAATGTAACACTCTGTTTAAAAAGGAATGGAGGCTGACAACAGATTGCTATCGGCCGATCAACCTGACCTCGGTCGTTGGTAAGATTTTAGAGTCTGTTAAGGATGAGTGTCATGGTGGGAAAAAAAGTGGCAGATGGAATGCAATGTGGGAAAGTGTGAGGTTATGTACCATGGAAGAATAGAGGCATAGACTATTTTCTAAATGGGGAATGTCTTCAGAAATGTGAAACGCAAAGGGTCTTGGGAGACTGAGTTCAGGAGTCTCTTAGGATTAACATGGAGGCTCAGTTGACAATTAGGAAGGCAAATACAATGTTAGCATTCATTTCAAGACAACTAGAATACAACAGCAGGGAGGTACTGCTGAGGCTGTATAAGGCTCTGGTCAGATAACATTTGAAATATTGTAAACAGTTTTGGGCGCCATATCCGAGGAAGGATGTGCTGAACCTGGAGGGAGTCCAGAGGAGGTTTACAAGAATGATCCAGGGATGAAGGGCTTGTCATGAGGAGTAGTTGAAGACTCTGGGTCTGTAATCAATAGAATTTAGAAGGATGAAGGGGGATCTGATTGAAAGTTATAGAGTACTGAGAGGCCTGGATAGAGTGGACGTGGACAAGATGTTTCCACGAGTAGGAGAGACTAGGACCCAAAGGCACAGCCTCAAAGTGAAGGGGCAACCCTTTAGAACAGAGATGAAGAGGAATTTCTTCTGCCAGAGGGTGGTGAATCTGTGGAACTCATTGCTGCTGAAGGCTGTGGAGGCCAAGTCATTGAGTGTGTTTAATACAGTGATAGACAGATTTTTGATTAGTAAAGGGATCAAAGGTTATGGAGAGAAGGCAGGAGAAAGAGATTGAGAAACATATCAAACATGATCGAATGGCAGAGTAGTCTCAATGGGCTGAAAGGCCTAATTCTATCCTTATATGTAATGGACTTACGTGGTGTGAATCTCAACACAGCATAATTAATGTGCTTGCAAGAATAAATTGCCTCAGGGCATTGTAGATGGGTTTCCCCAACCACCTCCCCCAAATGGGAACAGTGCTACTCTGTAAATCCAGCCAACAGAATTGGGAGGAATACATTCTCATATTGTGATGTTGGAAAATGAACCCTGCTCCACTTCGCTCAACCCGGAGTTAAGAACAAGGGCTTCCAGTGTGTTTTACACCACTTTGTGCTATGAATCTCCAGCATTTTGTTTTCTTTATTCAATCATGGGATGTGGGCATTGCTGGGTCAATCAGCATTTGTTGCCCATCCCTAATTGCCCCTGAAGAAGGTGGTGGTAAAGTATAAGTCGTGCAGTTAACTGCAATTAGGAAAAAAAAGCCGTGCAGAAGAGGGCCTGGAAGTTTTGAACATTGCTTGTCAATGAGCCATTCTCAGTGTCCCAATTTAAATACATTATGGGGAGGCAGCGGCATAATGGTAATGTGACTAGACTAGTAGCCCAGAACCTGAGCTAATGGCCAGGGCATATAGGTTCACAATCCCTGCTTGGCAGATGGTGAAATTTGAATTCAATAAATGTCTGGAATTAAAAGCGGACCTCATGATCACCATGTCATTACAGTCGTACAAGATCATACTGCTGCTCCCTTGTTAGATTGAGAGATAACTGTTAGGGGTAGTTTAGCCTAACTGCAAACAAGCCTCAGGCGAGGGGAGAGGTCAAGAAGGAGAATCCTTCATGGTAACCTCAGCAGGTGCAGGAATTGAACCCACACTGCATTGCAAACCAACCATCCAGCCAACTGAGCTAAACCGATTCCCAACGTCCACATAACCATTGCTGCTTGTTGTTAACCCATCTGGTTCAGGAAGGAAATCTGCCATCCTTACCTGGTCTGGTCTACGTGTGACTCTGGATCCACAGAAATACGGTTGATCTTAACTGTCCTCTGAAATAGCCTAGCAATTCACTCAGCTCAAGGCACAATTTGGGTTGGCCTTATTAGCAAAGTGCTAATCCCATGTGTGAATTAAAAGACACTTCCACCTTTTGACTGGTTCTAATGCAAGGTGCTGACACCAGTGAAATCCATGATGTGGAGGTACCGGTGTTGGACTGGGGTGGGACAAAGTCAGAAATCACACGACACCAGGTTATAGTCCAACAGGTTTGTTTGAAACAACACTTGAAGGACTGAGGCTCCAAAAGCTTGTGATTTCAAATAAACCTGTTGGACTATAACCTGGTGGGACCGGTGAAATCCACAGTCTTCAACACAGTAGGGGCATACTCACATAGAGAAGTAAGCACATGTGCTTCCTGCTCACCGTACTGCAGTATCAGGAGGACGTTTACAATCTGAACTGTGTGTGTGCTAACTGAATTTCTGAATTTATTTTACCTAATGAAATAATGGATTGGCAATTTTCTGTTCTCCTGAGGACTCTAATCAGATTGGAGAATTCTGAGCATTATAATTTGTATCATTGTGGGTCAGCTTCCTGTCTGGGGACAGTGTACATTTACACAACTCTCCCTCCATGCTATTCCAATGTTAAGAGTATACAACCTCTCAAGCCTGCCCATCTTTTCATTATGTTCACAGCTGGTCATCTATGTCAATTCTCTTAAGGTGGCCAGGCAAGTTGAAACTGTTGTTAAAAAGGCTTATAGGATCCTTGGGATTATAAATAGAAGCATAGAATAATAAAGCAAGGACATGATGCTACACCTTTAGAAATCATTGGTCAGACCACATTTGGAGTATTGTATTCAATTCTGGACACCTTATTTAAGGGAAGGATGTTAAGTCTCCTTTGAATTCTCTCCAGGGCTTTATTAGAATGATACCAGGAATGAGGGATTTTAGATAATAGGAAAGATTAGAGAAATTGGGTTTATTCTCCTTGGAGTAAAGATTAGGAGGTGACCTTATTGAGGAGTTATGAACAATTTTGACAGGGTAAAGAAGGATATTCTGTTTCCACTAGTTGGTACGTCAATAACTAGGGGGTCACAATTTCAAGACTGTCAGCAAGAGAGCTTAGAGTGAGATGAGGAGAAACTTCTTTACTCAGAGAGTTGTTAAGATTTGGAATGCACTGCCTGGGAGAGTGGAGGAGGCGGATTCCATAGGAGGTTTCAAAGGAAAGCTGGATATATATTTGAACATGATGACATTAGATGGTTACGGAGATAGGACTGGAGTGTGCGACTATCTAGGTAACTCTTTTGGGAGCGGGTACAGACATGATGGGTCAAATGGCCTCCTTCTATACTGTAAAATTCTATGATTCTAAATTCCCCCTTCCTTTCCCCTTCATACCCAAAGTTCTATCAATCTCACTCTCAAACATAATTGTTGATTGAATTCCAAAGATTCACACTACTTCATGTGAATAAAAGTTTCAGGCATTCTCCCATCCAACTACTAATCAGCTAAGCAGACTTAGGCCTGGTTAATGCTTAGATGGGAGACCACCCAGGAAAACTAGGTGCTGGGCAGGCTTTTGGGACCTATTGTGGCACAGTGGTAAAGTCCCTACACCTGGACCGGGAGGCCCGAGTTCAAGCCCACCTGCTCCAGAGGTGTGTATTAACATCACTGAACAGGTTGATTGGAAAAACTAAAAAAAATGTCCTCATCTGAGTCCGAAGAAGACAATTCCTTGTCCTAAGAGCACACTTTAATGTTGGGGATTACCCAGTCAGAGGAAACAGCCCATTGGCATGTAACCAGGCCAAGCCTCGTTGAAATGAGACTAACTCTTAGTCCTCTAAACCCCAATGAACAGATTCTCAATCTATCTTCACAAACCCTCGCAACTCAGGTCAATGTCCCACTAGCCCGACCCAGGAAGACCTTTTCTCTAGCAAGTCTGGCATTCGTTTCCCATCCCTAGTTACCCCTTGGTCTGAATGGTTTGTTCGAGGGTCCTTATGGGTCAATCACATTGCTGTGGGCCTGGAGTCAGGTGTAGGGCCTGAAGGCTCATTTCCTTCCCTGAAAGTGATTAGTGAACCGCATAAAATTCGACAAACAATTGATGATTTGCGATCACCATCACTGAAACCATGTATTTTATCATTTAATTGACACTTCCAGCAGCGCCCCATGGTGGGACTTGAACCCAAATTGCCCACAGCATTAGCCTGGGCCTCTGGCTTACCAGGGCCTTGACGTCACCACTGTCTTCCCCAATCACCTCCTTCCTCCTGTAATCACAAGGAGCAATGATGACGCCATCCTATTTTTGCAGTTCAATACTGTTCTGGGATATTCGAAAACCCAAACCCACAGTCCTGACGAGGCAGGAGAAACAGAAAATGGAGAAGGAACTCCAAAACCCTGAAAGAGTGCCTAACACCTTTAAACATATCGATCTCTACTGGAAACCGATGCACAAGGTAATGTCAATCCTATTAATTTGAAAATTAAGATGTTACCGTGACTGAATGAGAGATCTGTTGATTTATTTTTAAAAAATTTCATTGGATCTGGACATCACTGGGTAAGGCCAGCATTTGTTGCCTATCCCTAATTGCCCTTGGCTTGCTTGCTTGGCCATTTCAGGGGGGATTTCAGAGTTGCCCTGGAGTCACTTATCTGCCAGAATTCCTTCCCTGAAGAGTGAACCAGGTGAATTCTTAATAACAATTGAAGATGGCTGTCTTGGTCAACATAACTAAGACTAGCTTTCAAATCCACATTTATTTATTGAACTTCAATTCCAACAGCTGCTGTGATGAGTTTTTAACCCAAATCCCCAGGTGACTTCAACACAATGCTATAATTTCCATGCTCCTTACCGTCATTTGATTGATTTATTGTCACGTGTACCGGAGTACAGTGAAAAGCTTTGTTTACAAGCAGCACAGGCAGATCATAGTAAGCAAGGATGTACAGATCAAAGGTTGTAAAAAACATGTTACATTGCACAGGGTGAGCGCTAGGTGAAATCAACTTTAGCAAGATCAGCATTTGAGGCTAGAGAGTCTATTTGTCAGTGTAATAATGGCTGGGAAGAAACTGTTCCTGAACCTGCTTGTGCGTGTGTTCAGGTTTCTATATCTTCTGCCTGATGGAAGAGGTTGTAGGAGATCATTACCGGGGTACGATGGGTCTTTGATGTTGGCCGCCTTTCTGTGGCATCGAGTCATCTAAATGGAGTCTGTTGATGGAAGGTTGGCTTCTGTGATGGTCTCGGCTGTGCACACCACCTTCTGTAGTTTCTTACGGTCCTGAGCATACCAGGCCATTATGTACCTGGACAGTATGCTTTCTTCATCTGTAGAAGTTGGTTAGCATAGCTGACGGGATAGCACTTGTGTCTGTAACAAAAACAGAAGTTGCTGGAAAAGCTCAGCACGTCTGGCAGATTCTCTGAAGAAAAAAATCAGTCAACATTTCGGGTCCGGTGACCCTTGCTCAGAACAGAAATTCTGAGGAAGGGTCACTGGACCCGAAAAGTTAGCTCTGTTTTTTTCTTCACAGATGCTGCCAGACCTGCTGAGCTTTTCCAGCAACTTCTGTTTTTGTTTCTGATTTACAGCATCCGCAGTTCTTTTGGTTTTTGCAACCTGCTGAGCCACGTATTTTGTGACAAAACAGAGGAGACTGATTTAAGGTAGTTGGCTAATCAGCTAGAGATGGCAGATGAGTAGGTTTTTTTTTAATTGAAAGACAATGTTTTGTTGTGATCTGAAATGTGTTGCCTGAAAGGGAGATGGAACAGGAACTTCACGTACGAACAGATTCAAGAACAGCTTCTATCCCGCTGTTAACAGACTTTTGAATGGACCTCTTTAATGTTAATGTTGATCTCTCTCTGCACCTTCTCAGCAGCTGTGACACTGTATCCTACACTATGTTCCCTGATGCACTTGTATAGTACAATCTGCCTGTAAAGTACTTAAGGCAACGCTTTTCACTGTACCTCAGTACACGTGACAGTAATAAATCAAACTAAATCAAATCTGAAGGAGAATCAGAAATTCTCAAAAAGAAAAGAATTTATTTACAGGGATATGGTGTTAATTTCAGATAGCTGTTTTTTTGAGCTGGCACAGGTACAGTGTGTTGAGTGGCCTTTTTCATTCTATGGTTCGATGAATAAATCTTTATCCTCCTAAATCCTGAACAGGTTTTAACACGTTCCAAGGAAGGGTCACTAGACCTGAAACGTTAACTCTGATTTCTCTCCACAGGTGCTGCCAGACCTGCTGAGCTTTTCCAGCAATTTCTGTTTTTGTTCCTGAACAGGTGTTGTTACCTAAGATTTCAACTGCTGGAGACTACAGCCCTATGAAAATTAGCATGAAGGAGAAATACACCGACAGAGTCAATGGTAAATACACTTGCACTGACACTTTGTAATCTCAAAGTGACCTTAGTGTTTCCTCTGAAGATTGACCCACCTGGGGATTTTTGAAATAGCTAATCTTTCATGGCAGATCAATGTTCTGATCCCAGCCGATGTTATTCCCAGGCGATAGCACCATTCATGCCCAGTGCAAATACATAGAATCGTAGAATCCCTGCTGTGTAGAAGCAGCCCATTCGGCTGATCGAGTCCACACTGACCCTCCAAAGAGCATCCCATCCCCTTACCCTATCCCTGTAACCCCACATTTCCCATGACTAATCCATCTAGCCTGCACATTCTTGGACACTATGTGGCAACTTAGCACAGACAATCCACCTCACCTGCATATCTTTGGACTGTGGGAGGAAACCAGAACACCCGGAGGAAACCCATGCAGGCATGAGGAGAATGTGCAAACTCCACACATTTAGGTCACATTTAAAATGGAGACCTCAAGAATGCTGCCATCATTTACCATGGATAGCAGGAACTGCAGATGCTGGAGAATCTGAGATATCAAG